TGCAGTAGACTGTTAACCGTGCGCAGGGGGAGGAGGACCCGGAACTGCTTTTTGTTGGACCAGTGGTGATGTGAACTCGCGTGAGTTGTGGCTCGGAGCTGAGACCGATCAGTGAACATCAAATTTTTCGCACTCTCTTCACACACCATAACACTCCCAACCAACCATAAGCTGCTGCAACGCCTGAGGGGCCTGGGCTCAATCACCACAGCAGTCGCGGTCCACACCACGCACTTCTGTCTCACACTTAGGTTCTGTCCAAAACCTGAAAACCTGAAATTGCCACCGCCTCACCCTCCAACAGCCGAAGACTGCCCGCACTCGCTGTAATCACTAGTGGTCCCAGGCTCTATCGCCACAGTTGTCACGGCCCACATCTTGAACTTGTTCGATGTCATCAGCTCCAAGTCAAAACTCGCGCTTTGTGAACATCACCACTCCGGTACCCTCAAAAAGAGCCGGTCGCACCCGCACTGCAGTAGGCTGTTAGCCGTGCACAGGGGGAGGAGGACCCGGAACCTCTCTTTGTTGGACTAGTGGTGATGTCAACTCGTGTGAGTTCTGACTCGGAGCTGAGACTCCCAACCAAGCTGCCGCGATTCGCTGTGATGCGTGAGGGGCCCACAGCAGTCGTGGCCCACATCACACACTTCTTTGTTATATTTGTTTCCGATCCAAAACTGACAATCTGAAATTGTCACCGCCTCACGCCCCAGTAATCACTAATGGCCCCTGGCTCTATCATCACAGTTGTCGCGGTCGACATCTCGCACTTGTTCCTCATACTTACGTCTGTCGCCATTGATCAAGCTGCTACCTCCGCGGCTGAACATTAATAATAACATCCGGCTTAGAGATTATAATAATATGCGCGGAAGAATGGCCCCCACCACAGCACGACGCACGGGCCGGATGAACCCGCTTCTGGAGACGGCCAAAGAGCCGAAAGCTAAACCCGTGGAAGCCGCCGAGCAGGACGTCAAGGAGTCGACGTCAGCCGAAAGTGAGGTTCCAGGCCCCCTCCCCCCTGCGCACGAATCCCTTTTAAACGACCAACTCTGTTAATTGCAGGTGCTCCTCCCCCTGCACACGGTGGGACGGCTCCTGCTGAACGGGCAACATCAACTCTCTTGGTGGCGGCGGCCCCCGCGGTCGGCCAAGCGCCTCCAGTTGGACCGACGGCACCGACTCTCTTTGTGGCGCCGGCGGTGGCGACTCCCCTGGTCTTCGACAAGGATTCGAGTACTCTCGTGCCGCCCCCGAATTGGTGGAAAGCTGGTTGCTATAGGGCCGAATGGCCCGAGAGCACCTGCTCGTTAAGGGATGTGGTATCACGGCCGACGAGCAC